ATATGCTGCTGAGCTTTGTTAGCTTCAGGGCTCTAGAGTTTTAACTTATTGCAGGTCTGGACTACTGTGCGCTGGGTCTTGAATGTGAACAAATTTGCGTCAACGATGATGCATCCTATCACTGTGAGTGCCGCCAGGGTTTTCTGTTGCAAGAAGACAAGAAATCATGTTCCAAAAAACGTAAGAGCTCAGAGAGGAACTATTACTTATATTACAGGTGCATCTCAATAAATTAGAATGTCGTGGAAAAGTTCATTTATTTCAGTAATTCAACTCAAATTGTGAAACTCGTGCAATCACTTCACGTGCTGTGGGCACGAATAATGCCTAAAAAAATGTTTGTCCAATAGACATTAACAGGGCCTAAAAATAACACTCGCCAAGCGCCAAATGCAAGTAAAAATCAGCGTTGGCGAGTATATGTAACAGTGTCAGTCGCCAGTTGGCAGGTACAACTTTTACGAAGTATAACAATGCAATGAAGTGAAAACAGCAGCCAGTTTTTAAAGTGATTTGCTGTTTCTGACATAAGCCAAAGAGTATCTTCTATACTCTGCATAAGCGAATAAAATAATCTTGTCCGAAGACAAGATCTTCGTGATTAGCTGTTCTGTCATAAGCGTCAAGCGAATCAAATAATAGGATACAAACCGGCTAATAAGGTCAGAGCAGTGTGATGACCAGCTTGTCCCTAGACACGGTTCTAATAACTTTTACCTGAGAAGATTTTGCTGCTTCATTTCGGAAAATTTAGCCTACTTTTCTCTTCTTTATTCTTCATAACCCGCGAATGCGACGACACATACCTGGGGTTATGCCGGCTAAGCGGTGCAGTGAAGTATAGTTTGAAATGCTGCGTGTTCGGCTGTAAGTTACACAGACGCTGAGCCGCTTCAGAAAGCTCACCAGTAGCGCTTCAACGCACGAAAACACACACAATTATGTCAAAATGCGAGGTTTTGGTGAGTTACCTTGTAAACGTAGTCTTAAATGACCGTAAAGAGTTGGGAGAAAATCGGATATGTGTCAGATTCGCGTTATATGCATCAGGTTTTAAAGAGACAGCGCTGATTTTACAGTGAAACCAGCTGAATTCTGTCATTGATGTAAATCAAAGAAAAAGAGAAATCCTTGGACTGTTCTAGTCGCTGATTAACTTTTATAGCTTGAATAAAGTTTAGTATGTATAGTTTATGCATATATAATATAGTTTATGTGAAGATTGTTTTAAAATCACTTAAATTAAAAGTTATATATTTCAAATTCAAAACCTATTAAATGTTAAAAATAACGGCTTTCAATTATACTGTAATGTTGAATGGCTATAATTAATAGGGAAAATTTAGGGAAAATGCACCAGCAGGATAAATACATTGTAAATGTGTTTAGTTATTGTAGAAGTAATAACTGCCTGTTTTTGCTAAAAGAGTTTCATGGCCGGTAAAAAAAAATGTTGGCCGGTAAATTTGATCATGTCACCGGGCATTGGCAGGTGTTGCAAAAAGTTAGTTTTAGGCCCTGGACATTAATATTGGAAATATTGAATCCAACAGCCATGCAAAATTGGGGATAAAATCAAACAAGCACCACTAAAACATTAGTATTCTCCACATGATGGTACATTATATGGTGAGCCATGCATAACTTTCAAGAACCAAAAAGAGTTTTTAACATATATGATGTTAAAATATGTTTTGTTTTTCCTAATGTTTGATAAAAGCATATTATGCTCACCAAGGCTGCAAGTATTTGATTAAAAAAAAACTGTAATATTGTGAAATATTATTGTAATTTGAAAGACCTGTTTCTAGACATCTCCTTTTTGAACTTTTGCCATCTGGTCGGCGTTACAGAGCACCAAATACCAGGACAGCCAGGCACAAGAACAGTTTCTTTCCCCAGGCAATCTACCTCATGAACAGTTAATGTTCTCCCATTGTGCAATTAAAGTACAGTATGTGCAATAACCTTATACTTATTTATCACCCTAAACCCTAGGACATCCCTACAACTTATTTTATTTTATTCTATTCCTATTCCATCTATACAACACCTGTACATACAATTTTTTTGGTGGTTTATATTTATGCATGTGTATTTTATTCACATCTCGTTTTTACCCACTGTACTTGGCAATAAAGCTCTTTCTGATTCTGATTCTATTTATTCCTGTGATGGCAATGCTGAATTTTCAGCAGCCATGATTTCAGACATGATGTTTCAGAAATCATTCATTAAAATAAATTGGATTCACTAGGAAAAGCTTCATCTGTCAGTGACTTGTAATATCTGACATGTTGAGTCAGTTGAACACTGATTCAACATCGATGTAAACTCATATCTCATATTATGTAACACTCTCACAGTGTTGTGAGAAATTCAGAAAAGTACAACATTGCATAAACTTTGTTGCAAAGTGTTGCATATTTGCTAAGAAACTTTCACTTTGTGCTTGTGGGGTAGATCATTTGATCTATGATTACCCCTAACTCAAATCAACTTTTGCGAGGTATTTCTGTGATGTTTGTTGTTTGTGATGTGAAGAGGTAAAGGTGGAGATCGTTCAGGACCCTTGCATGTGTGAGGCCCGACTGGCTTTCCAGAGGCAGACACAAAACTCCCTTCAGGACCTCAACGGCAAACATATCCTTTTTAAGTCCTGAAACGAACATTGGTTTTTCCTAATTTTTTTCGAAGTAACGTCACACATCAATAACGTTCTTCGATTATGCTTGAAGTACATTGGGGCATTTAGTGGAGCAACATTTCCTGTGATGAATGTAATGCAAGTCATCTCTCTTAAAAGAACAATTCACACACAATTCACACCTCTTAATTCTTTATAAAAAAAGCTTTAATGACTTGTTTCTGTAATTCAAACCCTCTTTAACCTTAACAGTCATTATACTTGCTGCTGTCATAAGAAAGGTTGAGCAAATGGAAAACATGCTGGGACGCGTGTAACGGAGCAGTTCTTGGTAAGCATGGATTCTCTGACATGATTTCTAATGATTGAACATTTAAAAATGTACATCTTCTGTTCTGTTCATCAGGGTCAACATTTTCTGTGAACTTTCAGTGATTGCTGGAGTGGATATGGAGCACTAGACAACAAGACGGCTTCTGCTTCATCTTTGAAGCTTCATCAAAGGCCACATTGATCGCATGAACCTCTTTATGGCTTCAAAAATGGATCACAGTGGCTGATGCTCAGATGATGTTTCTTAAACCACATGTTCACAAATGTTTACAGATCCCCCCCCCCCCAAAAAAAAATTTAACCATATTCAAACATTAATTAATATCGATAAGAGCTTAAAGGGTTAGTTCACCCAAAAAGGAAAATTCTGTCATTAATTACTTACCCTCATGTCGTTCCAAACCCGTAAGGCCTTCGTTCATCTTCAAAACACAAATTAAAATATTTTTGATGAAATGTGAGAGCTCTCAGACCCTGCATAGACAGCAACGCAACTGTAATGTTCCCAGGTCCAGAAACGTAGTAAGGACATTGGTAAAACTGTCCATGTGACATCAGTGGCTCAACTTCAGTTTTGCGAAGCTACGAGAATACTTTTTTGAGTGCAAAGAAAACAAAAATAACAATTTATTCAACAATTATTTTCCCCTAATCATAAACAACGCTGATTACACAGATTACGTTCATGCGCGCGTTTTCTCCTCTGAACGTAAACCACGCTGATTACGTCGATTACACTCTTGGGTACTCTCCAAAATGGTGGAAGACGTAACTCGGGGGAGAAGAATTGTTAAATAAATTACGTTATTTTTGTTTTCTTTGCACTCAAAAAGTATTCTCATAGCTTCACAAAACTGAAGTTGAGCCACTGATGTCACATGGACTGTTTTACCGAGGTATTTAAGGCGTATGAACACCTAGACCATACTAATAACAAACTCTAAATTGAGAATTAATCATTCTTTTTTGACAAGTGTTTGATTTGTGAACATTAGCCGTTCCAGGGAGGCCTTAAGACCAAGCGGAATCCTCATCACAGCAAGCGGGGCATCTAACCGAGTTGGGTTTTTTAACGACCGCGTTTCGACTTCAGCAAATCAGTTTGAGCGAATGCAACCAACGTGATTCCAACATCCAGCCACGCAAGAAAACGTGCATTTTACCTGAGGGAAGACGTGATCAATAAGGAAAGTCGTATTTACATTTAAGTAACTTTCAGCTGAGTCTTAACCTTGAATATCATTCTTAAAACACAAAATGACCAATGCAGTGTCAAGCACCCAAAGCAGTACATATTTATTCTATAAGTTCTCTTAAATCGAAAAATATGCATTTTCATATATACTGTAGTAGGCCTACTGTATATTACACACACAAATCAGAATCAGAAAGAGCTTTATTGCCAAGTATGTTTGCACATACAAGGAATTTGTTTTAGTGTCACAAGCTTCCAGTACTCAGAGACAACAACACAGATAATAAAATAAGATGTGAATAAAATACACATATGTATAAATATGAATAAAGTGCGTGCACACACACACACAAAGGATAAATATGTACAGGTGTGCTATAGATAAAATACTGTAGAATATGAATAGAATAAAAAATAAAGTTGTAGGGATGTACTAGGATGAAAGTTGGCAACGCTAGCTACAGTATATAGTGCGACGCAAACAACTGCTTATTTCACATGCTTACACTGTAATAAATACATAAAGTGAAAATGTGTTTTGATATATAATCATCAACTAAATGTATATTTATGATAATAAATCAAATAGGCTAATGGTAGCCTAACCGAAATGTTTAGGAGAGTTTTATATATTTAGCTGCAGGGCATTTACCTTGACAGCATACCGTCATTATTTAATGTGGCACTTTGAAAGTGTACTAGGTGACTTTATTTAGCTTTTGAGTGCTAATTATTAAACTCCAGCTCAGAAGGGGACGCTCGCACAGGTTCAGTGACGGGACGTTCCAGAAAAAAATGTGAAACAACGTCAGTACGTACTAATTAATATTCATGAGCTTTTTTTTATCGCGACGAAACTAAGTAGCGCGTCTCATGGAGAACAGCGAGCTCATGATCCTACAGAAAGCACATGACGAGTTCAACAGTAAGAATTATAAACGAGCAGAGGAATTATACACACAATTAATCGAGTCTTGCACCAAATCCAGGTATTAACGACTGTAAGTTTATTTGAATAAATGAGTCAGGAGGACACTGGTAAACATTAGCACAGAGTGCATGTAAACTACAGAAGATCGTTTGCCATTGAGTTAAGTTAGTTGATAAATTAAGATCATGTTTCCGCTAATAATCACATTTTATGTTTATCTAGAGACTGCAGTGCTCATGATTTGGCCATCGCCTATAATAACCGAGGGCAGGTCAAGTATCTGAGGGTGGATTTCTATGAAGCCATGGATGACTATACCTCTGCCATACAGATCAACAGCCAGTTTGAAGTGCCACTGTATAACAGAGGATTGATACGTTACAGATTGGGTAGATACAGAGTTGAACCATTACACGGGGGCTTAAGTTGCTATAGATCAAATTTGTAACTGTTTTCTTCATGCATCACCTCAGTGCTTGTGAACAATTCCCATAACCCTTCTTAAGATGAACTGAGATGGTTTTGGGCACTGGTTAGGCTGGAGACCAGCTTAAACCAGCCTAGACCATCCATCTACCTTAAAGGGGTCAAATGATGCTGCTAAAAACAACATTATTTGGTGTAATGAAATTAGTTTATGCAGTTTAAGGTTAAAAAAACACATTATTTTCCACATACTGTACATTATTGTTTCTCCTCTATGCACCGCCTTTCTGAAACGTGTTGATTTTTACAAAACTCATCGGGGTGAAAAGCGAGGTGTGCTCTGATTGGCCAGCTGTCCAGTGCGTTGTGATTGGCTGAATACCTCAAGCGTGTGACGGAAATGTTACGCCGGTGAATGCAAAAAATGCCTGACAGTGTACATTTCAGAATACTCTGATTAATTGTTGATTTCTCAATCACAAGTGGTGCAATAATTATGTATGTGTGTTTGTTTGGTTTTAAATAAACATTCTTTAAAATGTGCATTTTGCCTGTATTTATGCACTTTGTAAACTTTTAAAATATATCTTGTTGAATATTATATGGGTCATATTTAACTCCAAAAACAAATCATAAATGATATTTTAGCTTTTGTACTATTTTGTAGATTTAAATGGAATTGTATTACATTATAGTTTATATTCTCAAGTTAAAAAATACCCTCAAAAGGAAAAGTACTCATCACGTACACTGCAGTAACTTTTTTAAATGTACCAATACGTATTTAACCTTTTTAGTTACCAAAACTTTATACCATTCCTAGAAATACTAAATTTTTATTGTAATGATAATTGGCAGAGCTCAGCTTTCACTCAGAAATGTGTGAGAAATTCCTCCCTCTAAATACTGCAGGATAATAGTTAACTCATGACACCTGCTCTTTAGTTGATGACTAGCACCACCTGTGCACAAGAGTTAGGTGATTTATACATTTCCTTTCAAAATGCACGTTATTTTGAGCTTTTGCACTAGAAGGAATTCAGTTGTGGTGGTTTCTGTAGATCTTGACCACCCAAAAACAGAGGTTTGTTTCTGAGCAAGGATGACGTGGCTTCTTGGGATTTGGTAAGTTAGGTTCTGTGTTAAAAGTTTTGTTGTTGTTGTTTTTTAATGCTTGTTTTAATTCTTTTTCAGTACTTTTTGGCTGTTGATGGTTATAGTTTTGGCACAGAAGAATTTCAATGTCCTGTCGACACGGAAGACTTTCAATGTGGTGCCAGCACAGAATTTTAACCAGCGTATGTTTTGTGTGTACTCCGTTTAGGTTTAGTAGGCCGCATTTGCTAGTAATGTATGATTTCCTCTGTTTTGTTTAAATTCTGTGTCTTTCAGGAACAGGCCTGAAGACTGATTGTCTGGGAAGCTATATGAGGCTAACCGTAGATAAATCTCTAGCTTTTGGAAATCAAATTGAATTTGATGCTGTCAGTAAGTTACCTGCAACATGTTGCCAAGAAAGATTATCGTAATCTACATTCGTGTAATAACCTAGGCCTTTTTCTTTTTCAGATGGCTCCCAAATTGAACCTTTAACTCCAAGCCTAGCTGCTAAATGTGGCTTTTCTATAGACCCTGATCCCTGGGGTAACTACAAAGTCTTTGCATCTCTTCTCAACTGTTTTGCAGGGAATGAGGTAACTGGCTCTATTTGGCTTTAAACCGTTGCCGTATCCTGTTTTTCACTTCAGTAGTTCTTTCTGCATTCAGGATGATACTGTGTTTGATGTTGGCATGCGCGTCCGGGTGCGTGGTGTCAAAGCGGAACATGATATCTTTGAGGTGGAGAAGACCTGTAACTATGGCCAATGGGCCCCCCGTGAAGTTCTTTGTGCTCGGAATTACATGGAGGTAAAACCTAGGCTCACATATGCCACCCAAACATCAAGGAGAAGTGTGTGTGGCTTTGGTCCTAACAATGGTTTCTCCTAGGTTTCCGTTAACCGTTTGCCAGAGGAAATTACAGCTTTGCGTAGGCAGCTTAAGCTGCCCCGAGCAAAAAAGTTTGATCAGTGGGACAATACGGTTACTGAGGTACGGTGGTGTTTAGGTTATTTGTCGTGTCTGCTCTGCAAGTGCCGCTTGATCAAACAAGCCCTGTCCACCTTTTGGTCCTAACAATGGTTTTTCCTAGGTTTCCGTTAACCGTTTGCCAGAGGAAATTACAGCTTTGCGTAGGCAGCTTAAGCTGCCCCGAGCAAAAAAGTTTGATCAGTGGGACAATACGGTTACTGAGGTACGGTGGTGTTTAGGTTATTTGTTGTGTCTGCTCTGCAAGTGCCGCTTGATCAAACAAGCCCTGTCCACCGCCTTTCAGGCCATTACCTCTAGATACAACATCTGGAGGCTGGTGTTTTTCACTCCTAAACAAAAGGCCATGGTGTTGGAGGATGCCCTGAGGACCGGATATAGCATAACAACAACTAGGTCTCGATTGGTGCTACGAAGCGGTTACGACATGCCAGAGATCTATGTGGAAAATGTGAGTATGGAAAATGTGGTGCTTCCTTCAGAAGTTTTCTTGAACCAATGTTATATCTGCTGTAACAGGTGAATGGCGTGCCAATGAAGATCATCAGGGTGACCACCTACTTCAAGAAACAGTGGTCTGTAACCATGTTAGATACTGTTGCTGCATGTCCAACTGGTACGTGACACTACTCCATTTTTGACCCAGTATTTGCAGGGTCCTTCGTTCCTTGTCCTGGAGAGCAACTTTTTCGTACAGTTTAGTTCTAATTAAATGTATTTGAATTAACTTTTTAAAAAGCTCTTTGGGTTCACTCAAATCAGTCAGGTGTTGCTAAACTGCAGGTAAGTGGGTCTCCAAGACACCGATGGCAGAACCCTGATATATTGCTTCACTCACAGGTGGGCTTTCTTTTACGGATGAGATGATCACCTGGAACTTCCCCCGTTTTAATCCACTAATGAGTTCTAGAGAAACCAATCTCCTTGAGATGTTCATGGGAATAGATGGAAAGCAGATAGATTCTTTACAAATGGCGGCTAGAGGCTACGTTTTGACCATCGTGGATGATCTAATCATAATGAAAATGCCAATCGGTGGACCAGATGGCTTCTACAAGGTTTGGTTTCTCGCTTTAATTTGACAACTTTTTAGTCTTGTGCTAAACCTAATGGTTATATTCTGTTGTAGAGTCATGTTGTAAATAACCAGTACCACATCACATATGACATTGAGCCAATGCTGGAGTTACTGTGGAGTGACGGGGGCATGGATTCTACTAGATACAAAGTCCTCTTCCCCATCAAGACCCCTTTTATGCCTAGACCACCCCACTTTGTTGACTGTGAGTGTTGAGGAATCGTGGTGTTTAGGTTATTTGTCGTGTCTGCTCTGCAAGTGCCGCTTGATCAAACAAGCCCTGTCCACCGCCTTTCAGGCCATTACCTCTAGATACAACATCTGGAGGCTGGTGTTTTTCACTCCTAAACAAAAGGCCATGGTGTTGGAGGATGCCCTGAGGACCGGATATAGCATAACAACAACTAGGTCTCGATTGGTGCTACGAAGCGGTTACGACATGCCAGAGATCTATGTGGAAAATGTGAGTATGGAAAATGTGGTGCTTCCTTCAGAAGTTTTCTTGAACCAATGTTATATCTGCTGTAACAGGTGAATGGCGTGCCAATGAAGATCATCAGGGTGACCACCTACTTCAAGAAACAGTGGTCTGTAACCATGTTAGATACTGTTGCTGCATGTCCAACTGGTACGTGACACTACTCCAATTGCATTTGACCCAGTATTTGCAGGGTCCTTCGTTCCTTGTCCTGGAGAGCAACTTTTTCGTACAGTTTAGTTCTAATTAAATGTATTTGAATTAACTTTTTAAAAAGCTCTTTGGGTTCACTCAAATCAGTCAGGTGTTGCTAAACTGCAGGTAAGTGGGTCTCCAAGACACCGATGGCAGAACCCTGATATATTGCTTCACTCACAGGTGGGCTTTCTTTTACGGATGAGATGATCACCTGGAACTTCCCCCGTTTTAATCCACTAATGAGTTCTAGAGAAACCAATCTCCTTGAGATGTTCATGGGAATAGATGGAAAGCAGATAGATTCTTTACAAATGGCGGCTAGAGGCTACGTTTTGACCATCGTGGATGATCTAATCATAATGAAAATGCCAATCGGTGGACCAGATGGCTTCTACAAGGTTTGGTTTCTCGCTTTAATTTGACAACTTTTTAGTCTTGTGCTAAACCTAATGGTTATATTCTGTTGTAGAGTCATGTTGTAAATAACCAGTACCACATCACATATGACATTGAGCCAATGCTGGAGTTACTGTGGAGTGACGGGGGCATGGATTCTACTAGATACAAAGTCCTCTTCCCCATCAAGACCCCTTTTATGCCTAGACCACCCCACTTTGTTGACTGTGAGTGTTGAGGAATCTTTGACAGTCTTTTTTTTTTTTTTTTTTTTTTTTTTTTTTTTTTTTTTTATTTTTTTTATTTTGTTTTA